GATTTGCTATGTTTTCTCCAGCTCATTCTACAGATGAAGAACTGAGGCAAATGGGGTTAAGTGCCTTGCCCAGGATCACACAGCCAATAAGTGTCTGAGGCCAGATTTGAACTCATAAAGATGACTCTTCCTGACTCCTGGCCTGGCATTCTATCCACTGTGCCACCTAGCTGCCCTATATCTATATTCCCTCCAATATTTATTGGAAATTGGCCTCTAATGACTAATTTCATGATAAACTAACAGCCATCTACACAGAGGAAGGAAACTGGCCATATGCACTGAATTTACATGTTCTGATGAAGTTTATTGAAGGATATACTTCATAGCCAGTAGGAGGACTGGAGGACTGGAAATGAGTTGAGACATTGCCTAATCTACATTGGCTCTCTACCAGTTATCTGAATAGCATTATAGACGCCTGAGGTTTCAAGTTAGCTATGATGGGGTGATGGCTTATGGAGATTTCAGTACCAAAGATGGGATGATAGGATTGCATATGTGAGGTACCAGTTCCATCGAGGAACAGTGATTGGAGGAGAGGGAGTACAGACTTCAAAGATGGCACACCAGCTTTTCCCATGTTTGATATAAATCAAGAAGGATTCTAGGTCAGTGATTAACTAGATGAGATTGTAAATACACAGGATCAGAAAGCTCATCTTTAATATCTGCAGAATTCAGAAACTTGTAATCTATAGGAATTGAGGTGCGAAAAGAAACTACTTCATTTGTGCTGAGCTGAGCATTATTTTTTAAATTTTTAGTTATTTTGAACTTAAATACATAAAGACAAAAAAAGAACATTTTCACACACACAGCACAACCTAAAAAGAGGATTCATTATAAAACCACATTGACATTGACAAAATTGACATTTTATACCATTTCCTTTTTTTGAAAAAGTATAGAATAAGTATTACTCCTTTTCAAAGCTATTTTGCTTCCTATGCTTCTTTTTTAATTTTCTAACTCAGTAAAATAATTTTTTATAATTTAATTAGGATGGCATTGAATATATAATTTAGGCAAAATTGTCATTTTAATTATATTAGCCCTGCCTACCCATGGACAATTAATATTTCTCCAATTATTTAAATCTGGCTGTATTTAAATAAAGTTTTTTAAATATAATTTTGTTTATATAGTTCCTGGATTTGTTCTGGCAGCTGTACTCCCAGGCATTTTAGACTGTCTGTGGTTATTTTATTATTTTTTTTGGGGGGGGTGGCTAGGCAATGGGGTTAAATGACTTGCTCAGGGTCACACAGCTAGTTAGTGTTATGTGTCTTAGGCCAGATTTGAACTCAGGTTCTCCTGAATCCAGGGCCGGTGCTATATCCACTGCACCATTTAGCTGCCTCATGCGTTTATTTTAAATAGAGTATCTCTTACTATCTCTTCTTGCATGGTTTTGTGGGTGACATATATGGATACTGATGATTTATATGGGCTTACTTTATGTCCTGAGAGGTAAGCATTGTTATAAATTTGGAAGTAGAGAAAAATCTTCCCAACAGGTCAGAAATATAAGGCAAAATAGTAAAATTGCAATAAATTTCCTAAGTAAGCAGGAAAACAAAGGAAGTATTTTAGGGAGCATTCTTTATCTTTAAAATAGATTTTTCCTTTGCCAAGCAAGGGAAATGACCTTGAGGCATATGCTGGGGAGGGGGGAGGGGCTGAGGAGAAAATAATAGAGTCTTTGCCAGAAATAGTTTGTAACTTTCCCTTAGTATTCTATTTGTGAAGGTTGACTTAGATAAGGGGAAAACTTCTTACGGATTCTAATGTTAAGGAGAAAAGAAGTCCCTTTACACAAATAGCTACATATTACATATGTGTATGCTTATATACATTCACTAGCAAACAATATCAATTTGTTTACATTCATAGTGGAAAGCATTTTGTGGGCATGAAAATCTTAGAGTAACTATCCTCACATACAATTATGGAAAGGGGTATAGAACCACAAACCAGATTTTTATGGAATGTATTGCAGCTGTCATAGTTTTATTGAGACCAAAATAATGTTCTATAATGTGATTGATTTTTTTATGTAAAGACATTGTTGATACTAAGTAGACTCCTTAAAATTTCCATTCAACAATCATAAAGATCCATCATAGCTACATTTTCTAACATTTTGTTTAGATCCTTAACTTCTTTCTCATTTATGTTTCTATGAGATTTGTCAGAAAGAGGAATGTTAAAGCCAACTGTAATTATTTTCTTACTTTCTAGGTCTTATTTTAATGTGGTGCTAAACATGTTAGAAGCTGTTAGGTAACAAAAAAAAGAAAGTTCAGTGGAGTCAGCATGTGGCATTTCTAGTACATATATACATTCCACCAGGAATAACGTCATAAGCTTTATACCATATTTGTTCATGTTTGGAAGAGGGCCACACCTACCTAATGAGATACTTTGGAATCTCAAACAATGGAAAAGATGCAAATACTGACAACATTTTTCAGCTAAGGGAGAGGGCAAAACAAGCCTGCCAACTAGCAGTAACTTCTGATCATAAGAGCTCTGGCAGAAGTGAGTAACAGTATGATACCTGAGTTTGTCATCAAGATCTCCAACAAGGAGACAGAGTTTTACTAAGAAACAGTGATGTTCAAGGGACACACAAATTAGCAGAGCTGTGGGGAGCTATTCCATACCAAGCTGTTGAAAGATTGGATAATTTGTCTGTTTGCGGAATTGCTACTAACAGTGGCAATGAGATAGGGGAGTTACATGGACTCTCTGATGAACAGGTAGAGAGAAGTGATAGACATTTACCTCAGTGGATTCTAAGCAAAAGAGACCATTCACCAGTTGTATAAGGACTGTTTAAACCAGATAACAATTCATAAAATAACATTCCTATTGGAAAAAAAACAATAACAACATTGTGTACTGTTACCCAACCTTGCTTCAAATTAAGGAAAATCCTAATTCAGACAAGGGGAGAGGACCAGTTATAGAATAGAGAGACAACCCATAGAGCATGGAAATGTTGGCCTTTCAACGAGTTCAGTGTAAAGATGGAAGGACTATGGTTGTAAAGGGGATGATAATCAGCCTAATGAGTGAGGTTTAGGGACAGAAAGGTCACAACTGATGTTCTAGGTAGGACTGGAGAAGTGGTTACACATGAAACTGAGTGACAATACTAGAGACTGTCCACACAAAGGATGCCTTGGATATAATTGCATATACATGTCTGAGTTGTGCTCCTACTTTATTATTTGGCTGTTAACATTTGTTTTTGTGCTAATATAATACAGCAACTCCTGTCTGTTAGTTGTTCACTGTTTTGCTACCTGTTTACAGGTATGCTAATGCTTATGCATGTTTTGTTCCTTTTTAGGCCTATTCATATCACTATTGCTGGTTTTGTTTTGCTATTATGAAACAGAAAGGAAAAACATTTATTAAGCACTTACTAAGCACTGTACTAAGTCTCTCAAGAAACTTAAATTTCAATTATGGAACACAAAAAAATAAGACAGCTTCTGGAAGATGAAAAGGCCAGGTAGAACTTAAGGCCTGGCAGGCAAAGCTATAAGGTCATAATTATGCTTTGTATGACAAGTACACTTTAAGCAGCTAGGTGGCACAGCAAATAGCGCATTAGGTCTAGAATCAAGAAGGCCTAAATTTAAATGCAGCCCCAGAACTCTTTGGTTAGCTACAGTTTTTTTTCTTCTTTCTTTGCCATCTCCAATCTCTCATTGGTCTAGGTGTTAACCTAGGATTGATAGAAGCTTTATTCTTTTTGACTTCCCACACTCTGGTCTGACATATCACCAAGTAGAATACAGGAGCAGTTTGCTTTTTCTCCTTGATGAACCTTCTATCTCAGATCAGGGTTCCCTAAGTGAGGGAGCCCACCCTTGCTTATGGTGATCATATCTATTACATTTCCCAGATTCCTGTTAGGTCTCATGCAGATGAGTGGTTGGAAACAAAAGTATGGAGGCATCCTGTGTCCTAGGGGCAAGTTCAATCATAAAATAAAGATATAGATTATTATTTATAATATTCTAGGTGTCGGATTGATCACAGATGACAGCCAGGGTCACCTAAATTCTTCATTGCAACTGAAAAATGACTTCACTTGTAACGATACAGTCCCACAATGTTAAAAAGCTCAGGATAACAAATAAGGTCCTTTTATAAGAGTTTTCTTCATTCTTTACAGATGAGACTCAAGTTAAAAGTTGAAACAGTTCCATCAAAAAAGACATCCTCTTCGTCCTCTTTCTAGGCTGCTAGGTGGCGCCATAGTGCATAGAGTCAGAAAGATTCATTCCTCTTCCTTAGTTCAAGTGTGACCTCAGATATTTGCTAAGCGTATGACCCTGGGCAAGTCACTTAACTCTTTTTGTCCCATTTCCTCATCTGTAAAATGAGCTGGAGAAGGAAAAGACAAACCACTCCAGTATCTTTGCCAAGAAAACCCCAAAATGGGGTCACAAAGCGACACGACTGAAATGACTGAATAACAAAGGTGGTGAAATGCATAGAGTAGCGGACCTGGAGTCAGGAAGACCTGAGTTTAAATGTAGCCTAGACATTACATTAGACTGTATGATCCTAGACAAGTCACTTAACCTCTGTCTGTCTCAATGTCCTCATCTGTAAAAAGGGAATATCTTGAAGGGTTGTTGGTCAGGTTAAAATGAGAAACATGTAAAGCATGCTGTAAACCTTAAAGCAGCATATGATTGCTAGCTACTAGTATTTGCCCTTTGCAAACTTTAAAATGTTACATAAATACCAGCTATTATTTCTCAATTATTTCAATCTCCTCCCCCATCCCACCCCCACGGGACCCGCTCTCGTAGCTAAGACGCTCAGAAAGAGCTGAGCAAAATGACTCTGACAGGGAACCTGTCGTCCAACATCCCGGGTGTCCGGCGTGGGACGGACCCATTTCCCCAGGGCGCATTTCCGGTTGTGGCCGGGCTGTTTCCGGCAAGCTGCGCTCTGTAGGACGTGTGAGTTGGTCTCTCTGGTGTTCAGCTAGTGTTGGTGCCGGGCGTGTTGTCATGGCGTCGGCCGCAGTCCCGGCCCCGGCCCCCGCAGTGGAGCTGGGCTTCGCCGTGGAAGCGCCGGGCTGGCGCCTGCGGAGCGAGCAGTTCCCCAGCAAGGTGGGCGGGCGGCCGGCGTGGCTTGCCGAATGCGGCCTTCCGGGCCCCGCGGAGCTCGCGTGCCCGCTGTGCCGCCGGCCGCTCGCCTTCCTGCTGCAGCTATACGCGCCGCTCCCGGACCGCGCCGACGCCTTCCACCGCAGCCTCTTCGTCTTCTGCTGCCGGGAGCCGCCGTGCTGCGCCGCCTTCCGAGGTCAGGGCCCGCTCGCCCTCCGTGCCCCGCCGCCCGCGGCCTGCCCCTCTCCGCCTCCGCCGTCTCCTCCATCCTAGCGAGGCAGGCTAGCCCCAGCGCAGTCCGGCCGACCTGTATTAGTGTCTGCTGAGAGCCGTGGCCCGTTCTCCTTGGCCTTGCCCGGGAGGGAGTCCGAGGAGTGAGGAAAGGGAAAGCAGTGCCAAGCCCACTTTTTACGATTGGATTGTTATCTTATTCTATTCTCCAAACAACTCTAGGAGGTAGGTGCCGTTATTATTCGCATTTTCCAGGTGAGGAAACTGAGGCAAACAGGGTTAAGTGACTTGCCCAGGGTCACACAGCTGGAAGTGTCTGCAGCCAGATTTGAACTCGGTCTTCCTGATGCCACGAGCGAGCCACCAGCTTTCCCAGAGGGAAGGGAGACGTGGAAAAATAGGGGACTGGGCGGAAGTCCTGTGGTGTGTGTGTATGGGAGGGGGTATTGGGAGGGAAGTGCTGTAGAGTGCAAGTTTTCAGCTATTTCCCGGTAGTTCCTGCATGCTTGCTTTCCCACCCTCTTCCTTAATTATTGTTTTGTTCCTTTAAAAATTTCCCTCTGAGTCTTTTCTCCCCTCCTTTTTTGGATTTTGGCTCATTTAAAAAAAAATTAGTCTCCTGTGTACTCAGAGCTCAGAAGTACGATCTACAATTATTAGCCCCATTTTATAAGTGAAAACATAGAGGCCCAGAAAAATTAGGTGAATTGTTACATAGTCACACAATAACTGGCAGAGGCAGGATTACAAGGAAGATGGGGGCAGCTAGAAAATATAGTAGTGCTGGGCCTGGAGACAGAAGACCTGAGTTCAAATGTGACCTCACACACTTACTAGCGGCTTGAACCTGGAGAAGTTAGTTAACTCATGGCTGTTTCATCATCTGCAAAATGGGGATAATAATACTTACATCCCAAGGTTGTTGTGAGGATTAAATGAAATAATAGTTGTAAAGCCTGTTGCACATAGTGAGTGCTATATTATTATTATTATTAGATCTCCGTTATTAGTATGTGCTGTGTTTGTGTAGGGCATATGACCTTTTTTCAAGTATTTGAAAGGCTGACATGAAAGAGGGATTATGTTTGTTCTGTTTGGGCTTAGATAACAATAGTAATGATGATAATAAGAAAAATTAGATTTCTGTAGTGCTTTAAGGTTTACAAAACACTTCAGAAATATTATTTCACTTGAACCTCACATCAAGCCTTTCGGGTAGGTACTATTAATACCCCCAGTTTTGCAGATGAGAAGCTAAACCGAAAGAGATTAAGTGACTTGCCCAGGGTGAAACGGTTATTAAATGTCTTGAGGAAGAATTTAAACCTACATGTGCCTGTTTCAAGTCCATGGCTTTTATCCACCAGTTTGGATTAACTCCTCAAGAGTGTAGACCTGCAAATACTGGGCGTAGTATGCAGTGAAGAAGCGGGATTTAGGATTAGATACAAAATATCTATGAAAGTAAATATATGGTAATAGTAGTGGCACCAGCAGCTGGGGCAGGGAGGTAGGCAGGAGGTTTAGGAAATCTGAAGAAAGGGCACTTAACTTTACCCTTTAATGTAGTCAGGGCTTCCAAGAGCTGAAGGACAGGAGGGAGAACACACCAGGGGTAGGGGACAGCCTGGGCAAAGTCACGGAGACTTTGGGGGTTGGGGTGTTTTGTTTGGGGAGCAGCAAGTAAGTCTGTTTGACTGAAAAGTAAAAGTCACGTTGGGGTGATGTGTGATAAACTTGGGAAGAGGCTGATGTGAGGTTGTGAAGGATTTTAAATCCCAAACAGAGACATTTATATTTATCTTACAGGCAAAGGAGACCTGCTGAAGCTTCTAGAACCAGGGAATGGCATAGTTAGACCTGTGCTTTAGGAATATCAACTTGGCAGTTATATGGAAGATGGTTTGCAGAGGGGAAAGACTGGAGGCAGGGAGACCAATTAGAAGTCTGTTGTGGTAGTCCAGGTAAGAGTTGACAAGGGCCTGAACTAGTATGAATGGAGAGAATGAGACAGATGAGACGGATGTTGTGGAGGTAAAATTCACAAGACTTGGCCATTGAGTTCGTATGGAGGGGTGAGTACATGGAAAGAGTGCAGCCCTTGAAGGATGGTGATGTCACTGATGTAAATCAGGAAGTTAGGAGGTTGAGTTTAGGGTGAAAGTTGTATTTTAGACTTGCAAAGTTTCAGATTTCTGTGGAACATAGAGGTGGAGATATCCAGTAGGCTGTGGATGATGGGCCAGGACAGAGCCTGAGGGTACACCCACATCAAGACTGGGATGTGGATGATGATGTTTCAGAGGAGGTTGAAAAGAATCAGATGTCCTAAACCTCCTGCCCACCTCCCTGCCCCAGCAGTTGGTGCCACTACTCTTACCATATGTTTACTTTTGTAGATATTTTGTATCTAATCCTAAATCTGCTTCTGCACTGCATACTGCACCCACTGTTTGTAGGTCTACACTCTTGAGGAGTTAATCCAAACTGGTGGATAAAAGCCATGGACTTGAAACAGGCACATGTAGGTTTAAATTCTTCCTCAAGACATTTAATAACCGTTTCACCCTGGGCAAGTCACTTAATCTCTTTCGGTTTAGCTTCTCATCTGCAAAACTGGGGGTATTAATAGTACCTACCCGAAAGGCTTGATGTGAGGTTCAAGTGAAATAATATTTCCAAAGTGTTTTGTAAACCTTAAAACACTACAGAAATCTATTTTTTTTATTATCATCAGATAGATGGGAAGAAAATCAGGGAGGAGAGAGCCGGAAGGTGGATGTGTCAGCAACTTTAGATACTGTAGAGAGGTCAGGGAGGATGAGGACCAAGAAAAGGATTTTTATAGGGCTTACTTTGTGATTTTTGTGCCATGTTCATGTTCACAAAGCCAGAAAGTATAAGAGGTGGGATTCAGATCCAGATACCTTCTGACTCTCAAGTCTAATGCTGTTTTTGGTATATCATGCTTCTGCTAGAAAATAGAAGTTATTTTCTTGCATTTTTAATAGTTCAAACTGATAAATAAGTTATTCATTACGTTAAGTTGAAATTTGCCTCCCCTAAAAAAATTGCCACTTGTTCCTTTACGTGGTGTATTATGGAATCACAGAATCTAGGAGTTGGAAAGGGCCCTCAAAGATTATCTTATCCAGTCTGTGCTTAAGCAGGAATTCCCCACCAACATATTTCTAAAATGTTGCCTAGTAAGCATCATTTCTATGAAAAAATTTCAGATCAAATAGAGTAAAAAATAAAATTATACCTGATAAAGAAACAAATGAAAAGGAAAACTTATCTAAAAAAGAATATGCACAACAATGTAACATTCTCTATTATCTTTATGCTAAACTCGTTTAGCCTGTATTTTAGGAACAGTCCAAACAATTTATGAAATGTTCAGCCCAACTCTGCTGGTGACCACTCAGCAAGTAGCAGATTCTTTGGCATTATGAGCAACTCCAGAAGCATTGAAGGAGCATCAGTGTTTTCACCCTAACATCAGCTTCCTATGAATACCATAATTTTTCCTTTTATATAATTTAGAGAACTCCTTTAGTGGCATAATATTTTTATGGATATATTTTGATTATTTCCATTCTACTTTTCTAGTTTTTAGGAATCAACTACCCAGGAAAAATGACCATTATTCTTATGAACCACCATCTGAAGAGCCACCGGATGAAGAAGATGATTCTCTAAGTATACAGCTTCGATCTGGTGTTCATCTCTGTAGGGTTTGTGGCTGTTTGGGTCCCAAAGTTTGTTCCAAATGTCATAAGGCCCATTATTGTAGTAAGGATCATCAGACTCTTGATTGGAAGTTGGGACATAAGCAGTCTTGTACAACATCAGGTTAGTTAAATACTTAAAAAAATCATTTTCCAAGTAATTTTCCTTCAGCTCCCTATCCTTCTGTTTTGTGGTTCTGAGTTCTTAATAGTGATGTCAAAAATGATTTTGTTTTAAAAAGACAAGCCACTGGGGTGTACTTAATTTTTAAAATAAAATTTTATTGCTATGTTTTGTTTACATCACCTTCCTTTCTCACTGTGCCCTTCCCATCTCCCTCCCAGAGAGTCAGACCTCTTCTGATAAAGAATTTAAGAGGAAAGAAGGAAAAAAAGTTATATAAAACTAGCCAAAATATTGAAAAGTCTGACGTTGTGCTCAGTATTCCACATCTATGGTCCCCTTTCTTTTGCAAAGAAGAGGGAAGAGGACACACTTCCCTGTACAGTAACACTTTGACTGCTAAAGCTGGGAGAGGTGATTGCTTTCTGTGAAGTTTGTTATATTACATCATATGATGTGGTTTGGTATCTTCCTGGAAATTAAGTATTTTATGGATGGATGTCATTAATTGCAATATTAAAACATGAATGGCGGGGCAACTAGGTGGCGCAGTGGATAGAGTACCAGCCCTGGAGTCAGAAGGACCTGAGTTCAAATGTGACCTCAGACCAAACACATGACACTTACTAGCTGTGTGACCCCGGGCAAGTCACTTAACCCTAATTGCCTAAAAATAAAAAAATTAAAAATTAAAAAAAAAACAACAATCATGAATGGAATTATCAAAAAGCATGTGTTAAAACTTCGGATAATATTCCCTAAGAATCTTGATGTTTAAAAATATGTGGGTCTCTTCAAAATCATGAGAATCTGATATAGATCAGAGGATTGAAGAGGGAGTCAGGTACAGTTCTGCCATATGCCTTCCCTCCAAGTAAGCCTTTCCTCAGCATCCATCATTGCTGAACCCCACAAATAGTTGTATTTGAAGGGCTGCAGTATATAGATTGTGAACTTCTTAAGAGGCCCACAGAGTCATTTTTCTGTTGTCCTTGAGTTGATTATTACCTTACATGGTAACTGATACAAACATATTCTTTTAGATAATTTGAATAGTGCAATCCTAGGCCACGAGTTCCTTTTTCCGGAATATGAAATTGTAATAGAAACAGAAGAGATGGAGCCTGACAGTGTTCCTGTTCCTGACTGCATTCCTGAAGACCTGGAAAAGTGTGAAAACTCAGAGCTCAAAGGCAGTATGGGTAAGAAGTAAATTTTAAGAGGACAGTTCATTCACAGATAAATAGACCATTATTGCAAAGATAACCTCATTATTATTAGCTAGACAGGTGTGCAAACTGTAAGTGAAGGGAAAAGAAGGCTAACCTGTGCTTTTCCATTCTGATTTAATTATGTAATAGGATGAAAACAGAGACATTGTGGAATAGTGGATAGAGAACTGCCCTTGGGTTCTAGGCCTGTTTCTGGCATATACTGGAGATGTGATCCTGAGAACGTCATTTAACTTCTCAATGACCTAGCCAGCTTGCATTTTTTAGAGGGAAATTCTTCACCCAGAGCATCATTGAAATCACAGTCAAAATAAAAATAAAAAACAGGATAAAAGCACAGATCCACAAAATATCAGAAATGACTTCGTTTTTTAGACAATAATTTGCAATAAATTATTTGGATTCCTGGCTCTCAGTAATGCTTTTCACCACTAGATATCAATAAGCCCTTCTCATTAAACATCTAGGATTCCATTCCTCCCTAGTAAGGAAAATGCTAGTATTCCAGATACAGTTATTCCAGTTGACTCTGGTCCAAGCCAAATGTCACTAATCTAGTCACTTTACCAGCTAGCTTTTACTAGCCTTTAAATAACAAATAATGTTGCAGATGGAAAATATCTATCTTCTCCCTCTTAGCTTACTTAGCTGTAGTTCAGCTGTAGTCTTTTGTAGCTTCATCAAAGCAAAAGAATGTAATCCATGATACTCTACATAAATGTAGTTGTTAACATCAGGCAGAGAAGTGTTAGGAGAAAGTTTATTAATTCATCAAGAAAATTTTAATCCCTCTGTCATGGGAGGCATTTTCTAATTAATAGAGGCCACTGAAGTGGTTAGAGAGTTATGCTCACCCAGAGAAATTAGATGTTTTGTCTTAAGTAATGTACCCTAATTTAGCACATTCATACCACCTAAGTTAATACCTTGTATATATTTCCTAATAATTTGAAAGAATAAGCCATTTCAGGGCAGTTTGAATAGTATCAAGTTTGTGTTGAGAGTTCAGTTTTAAATCCAATTCTAGGGTTATGTGAAAGTTGAGAAAAAGTCTGGTTTCTAGCTATACAATAGAATAACATATTCAACAAAATTATGTATAAAGTATTTGAAAATTACATAGAAAGTACATTTTTATAAGTATTTTTAAGCTAGTATGATATGAAAAGTTTTTAACTACGTGTAATTTGAATTATAAATACGCAAACTAGAAAGCTGATTTGGTTTTGATTTTTACCTCTCATAATATCAGATTGCATTTAAGTTCTGTTGGACTTGTGAATTTTGAATTTTTAAGAGTTTTCCCTCCCATTCCTTTACTAAGAAAATGAAAGTCATTGGGCATGAGTTTACTCATCTTCTATCTTCTTTAGCTTAATATTCCTCCCCTCACCAATCTCTTTTATCCCTTATTTTTTTGCTACCACAAAAAAGTGGGCCTCTGAATGCTTTTGTGTAAGTCCTTCCATTTGTCTTTGTCCTCCTAGGGGTATATGTTCAGTAGTAGTATCACAGGATCATAGGGTATATACAGTGTATCAGCTTTTCTAGCATACTTCCAAATTGTTTTCCAGAGTAGTTGGACTAACTTGCAGCTACAATAGGAGGATTAGTGTGCTTGTCTTCCTAAAGGCCTTCCAGTATTAATCATTTTAATTTTTTGTCATTTTTGCTAATGTGATAGATGTGAGAAGACACCTCACTTTGTTTTAGTTATCTTATTTGTATTTTGGAGTATTCTTTCATATGACTATTGATAGTTTCCATTTTTTTTCATTTAAAATATCATGTCCTTTAACAACTTTATGTATTGGTAAATCATTAACTTCTTGCCCTGAGTATACAGCTGTGTCCAAATCTCTCCTGTCTTGGAAGGAAAATTTTATTTCTCCTTGCTCTCGCTCTGTAATTCTTCTGTTTATAGTCAGATTTTTTGAACAAATTAGTATATATCTGTTACCTCTACTTTCTCATTGCACTGCAGTAGCTCCTGGTTGGGTTATTACAATAGCTTGTTAGATCGTTTTCCTTTGCCAGTTTCTTTGGCACCTTGGTGGTTCAGTGGATAGAGTGCTGGGCTGGAAGTCAGGAAAAGCTGAGTTCTGATCCAGTCTCAGACATTTTCTAGCTGTGTGATCCTGGGCAAGTCACTTAATTTCTCTCTGTCTCTGTTTCCTCATCTGTAAAACGGTGATAATAACAGCACCTTCTTTGCAAGGTTGTTGTATCAAACTCTAATCTTGTTATCCTCTTGTCTGAAAACCTCTAGTGACATCCCATTGCCTGCCAAATAGTCTTGACTTCTTTGCTTTGTCATTCAAGTCTTCTCTTAAACTGACCTCAACTTTATCACTGCTCTCCTGTGTGAACTTTATGCTTTAGCTGACTCGTCTTCTCAGTTTTCCTGAACTCATCTTTGTCTTGGCCTTCGTCTAAGCTTCTCCTTGTGCCATCACCTCTACCTGAAGTGCCTGTTAGACTCCTTATTGTCTTCTCTGCTTGTCATCATTTTTCTGTTTCACAAGTCCCAGCTTACATGTTTCCTCCGTGTAGTGTGCCCCCCCCCCCCCAAGAGAAGGCTATCTCCTTTGTAAGGTATTGATTCTGGCCCTTGTCTTCTGTTGTGATCGTTTTGTCTGAGGAAACCACTTTACCTCTCTTGTTTCCTCCTCTGTAAAATGGAGATAATAATAGCCAGTCCCTTATAGGGTTTCAGATGAAGTAATATCTGTACAGTGCTCTGTAAACCTTAAAGTGCTATATAAATGTTAAATAGTATTGTAATTTCCCACATGAGACTATAAACTCTTTGAGGCTAGAGACTGTCTCATAACACAAAGAAACAGAACAATTAACTGTTATATTGCACTGCTACTATGTTTTCAATCCAGCCATTACTATACAAAGAAGGAAATAGGGATAGCTTAAAGAAGGAGATAGAATTTGAAGCGTGGATATGATTCAGATCCTGAGGAAGCCAATAAAAATAGCTGGCCTTTAATTTGTAACATACTAAAAGGAAAATAAATGCATGACGCCTCTCTGTCTTCTTTGGAGAGGTAGATTATGGGTATAGAATGTTTTATGTCCTGTTAGACTCTCTCTTTTTTATTCTTTGTTTACTAAGGATGGCTTGCTGGGTAGAGGAGAGGTAGGAATATTTGAATCAATGATTGAATGAAAAAGCATTTATGATGGAGGGAAGGAAACATTTATTAAGTGCTTCCTATGTGTCTGACACGCTTAAAAGCTTTGCAGAGATCATATTTGATCCTCACAACAACCCTGGGAGGTAGGTACTATTATATTCCTCATTTTGCAGATGAAGAAACTGAGGAAGACAGAAGAAGTTAAGTGACTTGCCCAAGGTCACGCAGTTATTATCTGATTTGAACTCAGATAGATTTTCCTGACTCCAGAGCCTGCACTATCTACATGCCTCACTTAAATGTTTAGAAGATGTAAGTGCATGAAAACTACTTTGAGTAGACTTACCATGATATGGTATACAGGAAGGCCCCCCTGACAAGTTACTGACATCTGTGATCCTCAGTGCTCTGATCTGTAAAATAGGGATAATATTGTTAATAGTTACCTCATAGTTGTTAAGAAAGCTCTCTATGAGCTATGAAGTGCTAAATAAGTGAGTTATTGATATTGTTGCATATCTTCTGCCATTAGAGTTTGTTTACAGCATTTGTTTGTTTCTTTCAGATGAAGCACTTGAGGCAGAATTGGATTCCATAGCAAAACATGAATCTGAGGAAGATAAAATCTTCCAGAAATTTAAAACTCACGTAGCCCTTGAGCCAGACCAGGTAAAGTAGACGAAGAGTAATTGTACATCTTTTACCTTAGAAAAATATTTTTTGGGTCATTATCATAGAAGGTAAAATCCACCACAACAAGTATTTTTTACAAAGGACTGTGCCTTGATGGGCAGCCTATAAAAACAATGCCCTGATAATGTGATTATATTAATTCTTTATGATTGATAATCTTTATAAAAATTTTTTTCTTTTTATGATGACTTTGCATCATTGTATGATGAGGTCTCTGCAGTTTGCCCTTTCGAAAAGAAGATGATTTGCTTTCCTTTTTTGCTTTGTCATTCATGGGACTCTACTCTGCAATTTACCTCATTTCTCTTCACCTTAAACATGCCAGCTACCTGAAAAAAGCACATTTAAGTTTGTGTAAGTCCTGTCCCTAAAATATAATGAAATCCAAGCAGTAAGCTCAGAGGAGATCAAGGGCATAAATGAAAAGAAGTTCAGAGTATTACTTCATATGAAAGGTGCCAAACAGTTATCTCTGGTGTTTGGATCCTGGGAGTGAAGTGTATGGTTTCTAGCTGTGTATTAATTTTCACAGCATCCTGTTAGAGCAGAACTAATATTTGGTAGAGTTGATTCATTAATGGATTTTACCTTGATCAGAGAGTGTTTCTTCTGGCATTTGTTCAGTTTTTCTAATTTAGTTTGTTTCATCTGGCCAACCTTAAACATGTATCTTAAGTATAGGATGCTAAAGACTGGAGATGTATTCTGCTGGACCATAGGCTAGATTTAAACTGGACACTTTGCCTGATTACTCTGCTGCCAGCTGCACTAAGTGGAATGCAAGGATTGTGTTAAATGGAATAAGCGTAGAATAGTTTTGAGATCTTTCTCTTGAGTCATAGTGCCTTCATTACTGATGAGCTGAGTTGATTTATCAGTTTTAATATCAGTGTGTGTTTTGAGAAAGTATTACTAGTGCATAATAACACAGGCATTTTCTGGGACATGTTATGTATGTTATATATCAGACTATTTTAGATAAATATTTCTGCCATATTTAGGGGAACTTTCCAAAGCTCTGTGAACTTTCCTTTCTTTCGGGCTAGGCAATGGGGTTAAGGGACTTGCCCAGGGTCACACAGCTAGTAAGTGGTGTTATGTGTCTGAGGCTGGATTTGAACTCAGGTCCTCCTGAATCCAGGAATGGTGCTCATCCACTGCGCCACTTAGCTGCCCCACTCTGTAAACTTTCTAAAGCTATCTGTAAAACCACATTATTGAAGAAAAATCTTTTCCCTATAACTATTTTTGTAAGATTTGTGAGTGATAATGTGTTAAGAACTTTCCTGTTTGATTTTAGATTCTTAGATATGGCAGAAGAATCGACCCCATCTGGATTTCTGGTGAAAATATTCCTCAAGAACAAGATATTCCAAATTGTCCATGTGGTGCCAGGAGGATATTTGAATTCCAGGTATGAGTTCTGAAATAAGGGATGATCATGGTTAAAAATTATACTATTTTCTGAATTATTTTTTTTATATGTGTATCTGCCCTTGACACATAAAAGAAATGCATCCTCTGTGGAACATTTGTGAAAAGTCATAAATTGGAATCACATGGGATGAAAAAACATTGGGGAAAGGTGATCTGCATCAGGGGAAGTTCTCAGTGATGAAGATGGATCAGACTATAAGGAGTGTTTACTCTGTAGTAGTTATCTGTAAACAGGGTCCCTTTTCAAGCAAAAGGACCCATATGTACAAAAATATTTATAATAGTTCTTTTTTTGTGGGAGCAAAGAACTGGAAACTGAGAACCAGTTATAGTATATGAATGTAATGGAATGCTCTTGTGCTGGAAGAAATGATGAAAGGGAAGATTTCAGAAAAACTTGGAAAGACTTGTATGAACTGATGGAGAGTGAAGTGAGCATAAGTAAGAGAATAACTTACACAGTAACAATAGTATTATAAAAATACATCTTTTGTAGACTTTAGAGCTCTTACTTTTTTGTTTTTGGTGAGGCAGTTGAGGTTGAGTGACTTGGCCAGGGTCACACAGCTAGTAAGTGTCAAGTGTTTGGTCTGAGGCCGGATTTGAACTCACATCTTCCTGACTCCAAGGCCGGAGCTCTACCCACTGCACCACCTAGCTGCCCTTAGACTTTAGAATTGTGAGCAACACAGTGCCCAGCCAGGATTCCAGAGGACCCACGAAGCAACGTGACTTACACTTCTTGACTCAAAGTACAGAATGATATATATTTTTTTAGAAATAGCCAATGCAGAAATTAGTTTTGTTCAGCTATGCATAGTTGTTACAAGGATTTTGTTTTGTTTTTTTTTTCACTGGGTAGAGGGAATTGGGAGAGAGAGAACTAGAGCTTAAAAAATGTAGATATTTTTATGTCATATGGATTAATAATTAACATTGAAATCTATATGCATTTAATAGAAATTATGCAATTAATATGCATATTGCAATAAATACATAATTAGTAGAAATGCCCTGAAAACATAGTTTCATTATTTGGTGGTGAATAAGGACTAGTCACGTTACATTTTGTGAGAGGATTTTAAGTAGGAATTTCACTTTTCCCATAAATCAACTTGAGACTGATTTTTAAAGCACTTGATATCTTATCAAGTTGAAGTGTGTCTCCCTAGTTGGTTATTTTGGAATTGCAGTGATTTTTAGATTAACCAGTATGTGCTGTATTATAGAATACAATTTCAAGTAGAACTATATTGGCCCAATTCTACCCTTTTACTCTTTTCTCAAAATAACTCAATAGGTTATGGTTTCTTTATACATTGTTATTAATAGTACTCTTTGTTAACATTAGAATATTTTAAATTTAAAAATTTTTAATAAAATTAACAAAAATTTATATTTTTCAAGGGAGGGGAGGTGGAGGGATCAGAACCTTTGTAACAAATATGCACGTTCAAAACTTAATTTTTGCATTGGCCATGTCTAAAAATGTCTCATTCTGTACCCTGAGTCAGGAGGTGGGTGACATGTTTCCTCATGGGTCCTCTTTAATCATAGTTGGTCATTGTGTTGTTCAGAGTTCCTAAATCTTTCAAAGTAGTTTTTCTTTAGTTTTGTTGTTATTGTGTACATAGTCCTCTAGGTTCTGCTTACTTAACTTTTATCAGTTCATATATGTTTTTACAACTTTCTCTGGTTTTTACCTTTAATTTCTTACATTTATCTATTATTATTTCTTTAGCTGTTCCCCAAATGATCTCTTTTAGTTTCCAGTTCTTGGCTTCCACAGAAAGCTCCTATAAATATTTTTGTACATATGGGTCCTTTTCCTCTTGCTCTGATCTCTTTAGGTTTTAGTCCTAATAGTGGTATCACTGAATAAAAGAGAATGTGTGGTTCAGTAACTTTTAGGTTATAGTTCCAAATTTTTTTACACAATGACTGGGCTAATTCACAACTTCACCAACAGTGCATCAATTTACCTATTTTCCTATAGCCCCTCCAATATTTTATCATTATCCTTTTTTGTCAGCCTTGCCAGTCTGATAGATGTGAGTTGGAATCTCAAGAGTTGTTTTAATTTGCATTTCTCAATAATTTGGAGCATTTTTTCATATGGCTTTTGGTAGTTTGGATTTCTTCTTTAGAAAACTGCCTGTTTTTGTCCTTTGACCAATTATAAATTGGGGTAACATTAGTATTCTAACATTTTTAGTCACCATAACTGTTAGAGCTATTTTAATTAAAAAACCAACCAGAATAGGGGACCTGTAGATTGTGAAGTGACACTTGTGCCTATTTACTTAACTTGGCTGCTCTTTCCCAACAAACAGGCATATGTTAAACTGAAGGCCACATGCAACTGGAGCCATAGAGGGGGCCAGGGAATTTGCTGGAAATGTCAGTTACGCAATAATTCTGATCTGTCTTAAAGAGTTTAATAATTTAAGACAAAAGTATGAAAGCCGAGCTTATAATTATCCTTAATCTAAACAAGAACAGGGGTGTGCTGCTCTGTAATTCCATGCTGTCTTTTCTCAGGTTATGCCACAGCTTCTAAATTACCTGAAGGCTGACAGACTGGGCAGAAGTATTGACTGGGGGACTCTGGCTGTCTTTACCTGTGTGGAGAGCTGCAACTTGGGCACCGAGTATAAAGAGGAGTTCATTTGGAAACAAGACTTTACAGATGCAACTTAAAATCATGAAAAACAAATCTCTGGTCTGGTTATTTTATACTCTTAACATTTTAATACCTAAGCAGTCTTCAGGCCTTGTATGTATTAGTGTAATGAGGAGAAAAGCTAATGTTATAGTAATCTAGAGAAAACTCATCACAACAGCCCCAGTGTCTGCTGACGGGCTGATTGTGATGGACATTTAGTTTAATGCACATGCTGCTGTGCCTGCTACACCATGGGAGGAAGGATTTTATTTTAGTGAACTGCAAAGTCAGATATCAAAGGACTTAAGTTCAGTTCGTAATCACATAATCAAGTATCAGTTTATTGATGGTAGTTTCTTGTTTTCATAATTAACAGAATCTTTCACCCAGAGCCTTGAAGTACTACTTTTTACACACTCAGTATGCTGACATGATATGATAATACAGAGCCATACCTTTATCTTTCTAATGACTAGAACTCCTCAGCTGTTAGCCCAGCCTATTTCTGGTGGGGCATGACAGGAATAGTTGAGCTGCCTTTTGCATATGAGGCTGCTAATCACTTTATTCCTTAAGTTTAAGGTTGGATGTTTTGTTTTATGTTCCCCTTTGCCTTCTATCAATCTTTTTTTTCCTGTCTCTTCCTTTTTGTCTTATCTCCTCCTGATCTGTATACCTCTTAGACACTAACACCTCCTTAAACCATTCTTTTTTGCCTTAACTGCCAGGAAGTTAAGAGCTAGGTTCAGTGCTCATCTGGAATAACAAACTTATCATATTTGCTCCTTTTGATTGCTTAAAAAATAAAAATTTCCTGTCTTTTGGTTAACTGTATACATTGTCTCAAACTGTTTCTGAAAGTAGCAGGGCTATAATCATAAATTTTAAAATATCCTAACTTAGCTTTTTTCCCCTTCCAACCTCAGTCATGAGCATTGTACAGGGGAGAAAGTGCCGGATTTGGAGTCAGAGGGACTTGGGTTTAAACTCTGGCTCTACCCTAGGTAAGTTCCCTGACTGAGCAAATTGCTTAACCTCTCCAGGCTTCGTTTTTCTCCTCTGTAAAATGAATTGATTGAATCGTGGAGCCCCTAAGGGTCTAATCCTATGATCAGGGCCATTGTGCAAAATTAACATATATCTAGATCTAGATTTCTTTTCCCTTGAATAATAAATTACTCACAAACTGAGATTATGGCCCCACATTTTGCATAGTGGCAAGTTTCAGCTATATCTTGCTTCTTTTGTCACTGTTCACAAAAATGGGTTTTCTTGTGTGTTTTTGGAATAGCAATTTTAACAGTATGGGTTTTACCTCCAATAAGGATCAAACCCTCTCTCCATTCCCCTACACCTTCTTATCCTGGTTGATTTTAACCTTGTTTCTCATAATTCCAGAGGAACTCACTGTTGCTGGAGGCAAAAAGAACAAAGCACATTATGCTGAGTACTAAAAGGAGCTCTAATTTTTGCTGTCAGGATTAATGTCCCACTATATGAAGAGTCTACTTCCTTTTATGATCAAACAGATAAGATGATGTATTTTGATGTATCTCACTCTACTTGGGCAGAAATTGTCATTGGTAAACATGCTGTATGACTTTGTCTACCATGCTTCTATTGCCCTGTGGATTATTTGTAATTTTAATTCTTCCAACATCATGGTGTTCCATAATTCACAAGCCATACAGCAGCTAGATTGCACTGGTCTTGCAGTGAAGAAGACTTGCATTCAGATCAGGCCTCAGACAACTTTTGTTTGCCTTAATCCACTCCAAGTCCATGGGGTCACGAAGAGTAGATCAGGACTGAACAATAACAACATAGCATCACCAAAATGTTGTTTTAAAGAAATAAACTTTTTCACTAGCAGAGATTTTCAAAACCTTAAAAGTAAAGAGTTTCCTAAGTGCGGTTCATCTTGACCTACTCCATTTCTGGGTTCCCCAATTCATTGTTCATCAGTACATCATCTTATATGTGTACAAGATTACAATGTCTCAACATGTTGAAAAGTTTTGTACTTGGCATAAAGGGAGGCAGTTATTGGGGGAAAGTTGTATTTGCAATTCCCAATAGTAGAAGAGTTAGGAGTACATTGTTTCAATATTTTAAAGATTGGGGGTACATTGTCCAGTGTAACACATCATACATCTTCCATACTTTTAAAGATATTCATAATTTGCTGTGGCCAAAGTCAGTACTGATTAACTGTTGGTGAGCCCCCCTGGTACTTGAGTTGCTTGGTCTAATGATTGCTATATTAGCCTTGCCAAACCTCTGAATGGTTCCATTGTGGGCATGAGATTTCACCAGAACTAGACTCCTTTGATAGCCCCTTTCCCCTCTTCCCCCAAATTATTGATGCTTTTATTTCTTTCGGTGAGGCAATTGGTGTTAAGTGACTTGCTTAACACAGCTAGTGTTAAGTGTTCGAGGGCAGATTTGAACTTAGGTCTTCCTAACTCCAAGGCCTGGAGCTCTGTGCACTGTGCCACCTAGCTGCCCCTATGCTTTTATTTTTTAACTGCCTACCATGCCAATTCCCTCCAGTTGAACCCTTCCTTGTAACAAAAAGTTAAGCAAAAAGCAACAAAGTCTAACAATGTATGTAACATTGGTCATCATCCTCTTCACCTGAGAATAGGGAAGCATGTTTCATTTATTTTTCTAGGAAAGGTCACCTGATCTAGCCTTAAAGAACTCCTGAGCTACACTCTGAGGGAACTGAGTAGTATCAATTTTAAGATTATCCTTGAGGGGCAGCTAGGTGGCACAGTAGATAGAACACTGGCCCTGGAGTCAGGAAGACCTGAGTTCAGATATGGCCTCAGACACATTATTTACTAGCTCTGTGACTCTGGGCAAGATTATACTTGTTGACTAATTGGAGCATTGTGGAAAATACTGATATTTCATCTTCAAGAATATCTTTTATCAAAATAATTAGAGGTTTAACAATCTCCATAATGGAAAGCTACAAAGTAATTGCTAAAGTTGAATTTTAATTTAGACTACTCAAAGCTGTAGTTTGGAAGACTGCTTGACCACTACAAATTGTACTGTTTTGCAAATTTTAATTTTTATATAGGCTAAAATTTCTCCTGTGTTCCTTTCTCCTCCCGTTTCAGAACCATTCCATATAAAAAGAATTTTTAGAAAGAAAAAGGAAGAGAAAAACATTACCAATATATTGGAAATCTGATATTATACAGTGTTCTAAATCTATGGAACTCTCCCCCACCCCTACCTCGAGGCACTGTTCTTTGGAGCCAAGCTTATTATTTTGCAACATTTATTATTTTGTAGTTCTTTCCGTTTATGTTGTTAAAATTACTTTGTTATTTTTTCTTAGCTCTGCTTTGCATCATCTCATGTAAGTCCATGCTTTTCTGTATATATACATCATAGTCATTTTTTTAAATTTATTTTTAGTTTTCAACATTCACTTTCATAACATTTTGAGTTCCATATTTTCTCCCCATCTCATCCCTCTCCCCACCCCAAGATAGCATACATTCTGTATACTCCTTCCTCTAATCTGTCCTGCCTTCTCTCTCTCCCCTCCTCTTATCCCCTTCCCCTTCTTTCTGTTTTCCTGTATGGCAGGATAGATTTCTGCACCCCATTTCCTGTATTTCTTATTTCCCAGTTGTATGTGAAAATTTTTTTAACATGTGTTTTTAAAACTTTGGGTTCCAAATTTTCTCCCTGCCTACCTCCCCACCCACCCCTATTGAAAAGGCAAGCAACTCAATACGGGTTATATATGTGTAGTCATGCAAAACACTTCCATAGTAATCATGTTGTGAAAAACTAAGTATATTTCCCTTCATCCTGTCCTGCCCTCCATTATTCTGTTTTCTCCTTTGATCCTGTCCCTCCTCAGAAGTGTTTGCTTCTGATTACCCCCTCCCCAAGTCTGCCCTCCCCTGTATCATCCCCCTGCTCTGCCCCCTTCCCCCCTTATTTTCCTGTAGGGTAAGATAGATTTCCATACCCTACTGAGTAGTAAGCCAGATCCTATGAGAATAAGATTAACTCGCTTCCTCTCACCTTCCCCCATTTCCTCTCCATTGTAAAAGCCTTTTCTTTTCTGTTTTACATGAGATAATTTACCCCATTCTGCCTCTCCCTTTTTCCTTCTGTCTGCCTCTTTCACCCCTTAATTTTATTCTTCAGGTATCACTCCATCTTCAACTCACCCTGTGCCCTCTATCTATCTATATATATATCTATATACACACATATAATTATTTCCCTCCAACTACCCTAATACTGACAAAGATCTCATGAGTTTCAGATATCTTTCCATACAGGAATGTAAACAGTTCAACCTTAATAAGTCTCTTTACTTAAGTCATTTCTTAGAGGACAGTAATATTCCATTATATATTTGATGGGCTTCTGCATTGTTTATAATTCTTTGATATTGGAAAAAGTACTATTTATAAATATTTTATTTTTTAAATCTTTTTATCAGTGACCCTCCCTTGGGGTATTTGCCTAGCAGTGGAATCTCTGAGTCAGAGGTCAAACATTATTTACTTAAGCCAGTTGCTTTCCAAAACAGTCCTACCAAATTCATAGCTTCACCAAAAATGAATTAGTGTGCCTTTCACAACTCAAACACTGACTTCCTTTTGCCATTTTTGCCAGGTTGCTGGGTGTGAGGTGAAACCCTAAGGTTTTGATTTGCATTTCTCAGTGATTTGGAACACGCTTTCATGTGGTTATTCGTTTGAAATCATTGGTATCCTTTGAGCACTTTTTTCCAGTGTGGGGGAGGTAGCTTTTAGACAGGGTTTTAATTTTTTCCAGTGAACTACCAGTTAGCTTTCCAATTACTGGGGAAGGATTTTAAAAATGAAGTAACATATTCTTTTGATCTTCCTTTAAAATTTTTTTTTTCTAGATGATTAGAGCTAGCCTTGGAGTCAGGAAGACCTGGGTTCAAGTTCTGTTTCTAACTGCCTGGCAACTGTTAAGTTGATGAGGGCTTGCATCAGGGTAGTGGCAGTATCAAAGGAGGAAAACATATAGGAGAGAGGGTGCCAAGGTGAAATCAAAAGATCCAGGCAACAGATTGGACACGGTGGGTGAGAGATAACTGGGGAGTTGAGAATGACACCTAGGTTGTGAACTTGGGGAACTGGGGAGATGATGTTGCTGTTAAGAGTAGGAGGGTTTGGGGGAAAGACGAGTTTAGTTTTACACACTTGGAGTTTAAGATGTCTACTGGACATCCAGTTTGAAATGTCTGAACGGCAGTCAGAGATTAGAGGTCAGCAGAGAGATTAAGGAAAGCATAACCTTTTGTTCCATCTCTTTGTTCCGAGGAGATGGGGTGTTATCCAGTGTAACCCAAGTATTTACTAATGGTGATAGGTGTCCTTTAATAAAGAGGACAAATAACCTTGAATTTCATCCTAACAAGGTTACACATCCCAGACTATTTGAACAGTGTTTTTGCATGGGAAAACTGCTGAACAAACATTTAAGTCCATCCAACAAGGGCTCCTTTTGGTAGAGTAATTTTGTTAGCTCATTCAGCAAGCATTTATGGAGCACCTGTGTCTACACCATACAAATGAAGGTGTGTACGACATAAATGCTCAAACTTGACATCTTCCAACATGTGTAGCCGTGACCTTGGGCAATTCTCTTTTGTCTCAGGGCTTCAGTTTCTTCTTCCTCTGTGATGTGGAGATTGGACTAATGTCTAATTCAAAGATGGAAGGTTCACAAATTATTCTTTTGGGGGTACTTATCGTGGCTGTATTAACAGAGCTGTGGGGAAATTTTTTTATTTTCGTAGGGTAGTCATGCTGTTC